AACTCTTTCTTTCCAACTGCCACCAGACTCCTAAACAACTGAATCAGGAACTACCTCATATAATTCCACCTGTATTGTTTGCACACTTACTGCTGCCTATTTGCATACACAGCTCCCATGTAGCATACATTCAATCTTCATTGTATTGTGTTCTTGTTGTATTTTTCATTATGCTTCTTTCATTGGCTGTTTTACAGTGCCTTAAATTTAGGCACTCTCACTAACCCATTGGGGAACAGGAAGCATGGCAGGGACAGCATTGGCCCACTTGGACAGAGACCTGCTCAAGAACTGTAACAGTGGTGGTGTCAGTGCGGATAGCCAGCTCACTGGCCATCAGGGACAGGAAGAGGGTGGCAAATTCCACATCATGAAAGAGGGCTGAGTTGAACTTGAAGCCCTGCTGTGATTGAGGTTTAGATTGTGACAGTTCTGATGTTTAACATCAGCAAGTGACATAGCTCAAGGGTCGGCTACCAGGTGATCGAGTTAGCTAATGGCTAACAGGCACACACACAAGATTAGTTGTCTTCTGTCAGTGTACATTACATGGCCAAGGCCCTTGTATTTGATTTGCAAAGAGACTGACTGTTAGGATTCACTTTGGACTTGGACCCAATATGCAGACCCGGACTAGGCTTAGAGGTTTAGAAAGACTTTAATAACACACAAGAATACAAAGAACACAAATGTAGCTGTGGTACTGGGAGTGCTCAGGTGAATCAGGTAGGCAGGACCTCCTAAAGATGACAAGCAGAGGCAGGCAGAGTGAGACGGGCAGAGTGGAGCTGAGGCTGCACCAGGGAGTAGAGGCAGGACCAGAGCCAGGCTTTGCAGGGGGGTTGCACAGGTGAGTAGCAGGGTAAGGTGACGGAGACAGATAGGTAACAGCGTTGCTGGCTGAACAAGAACACACAGTAGGATAGGCTGGGACAGGAGACATGGCCAGTGTAGCTGGGGATTTAGGGAAAGGTAAGGTGGCAGAGTCAGGAGAGTTGACGGTGTGCGGGCATCGTAAGGAGCAAACCTATCAGGAACAAGGAACGCAGGTATGTGGCAGACACAGGACAGAGAGAGACTCATACAGTGTACTGACGTTTACAGGAGACAGTGTACTGGCATTGTCTGGAGCAAACCAGGCAGGAATGAGGAACACAGGGCCGGTAATATTGGTCAAAAGAAACACCAATGTCACTGAGAAGTCAGGAACTCACAGGTGAGCAGACGAAGGTAGAAGAGTTGACTGTCCAGAACCAGTGCCAAAAAACAGGACAGGAAAAACAGGGTATGGTGAGCCTTGAGAACGAGGTGAACAGAGTTGGCATTGGTGTAAACTTCATCAGTGGACCAGTGAGTGACTGAGGGAAAAGAGGAGGTATATATGGGCTGTAGTCCAGGAGATAATGAGCAGCAGGTGAAAACAATGAATGGTGATTATGTATTGGGGTAAAGATGGGGCAGGTGAGGTTACGCAGGGCAAGCAATAACCAGAATAAAAGCACTCAAACCCGGGAGCGGAGCTAAACCATAACACTGAGATAACAGATGTGAAGACAGCAAAACATTGACAGTTAAAACCGATCAACAAACAAGTTTTATATGTGATGTTAGAAATTAATAAATCAGTAGGATAATTATTAGACTTTAATGTGTTAGACTTCATTGTTAGTAATGTAGCTTGTGTAAGAATTATGTCTGAATGGATGTTTTAGTTACACATCATGCATACAACATACACACACATTGAGCTACCTCATTTTGTTATGACTAGGTAATACGCAGCTGCTCCAAGCATATGGAGCTCTAGATAAGAGTTGGAGTCTGCGGGACGGACTTCATCTGTGTAAGGGGTTAGCCCAAAACTGATAAATGTATTAGGCTCTGTGTTTCCGGGTGCTTTTTCCTGCTCTTCTCCAGCAGCTTGTCTGAAGGAGGGAGCCCTGGGTTGTGTTTTGTAATCCTTTTATTTATATATCTATAGTAAATAAACCAGCACTAAAATCAAGAAAGACGGACTCCTTTCTTACTCAGATCTGTCCAGTAAAAGAACTGGGGTATAACAGTGACGTACATAAGGCCATGTACATACGCATTGAAAGCCGTTGTACCAGAGTCAAATATGGTGAGGGGGAGTAAGGTGTGGGGGTTCTTCCTGAAGTCCACTGTCATCTCCACTGTTTTGAGCGTGTTCAGCTCCAGGTTGTTGCAACTACACCACAGGAGCAGCTGCTCAACCTCCCATCTGCAGGCTGACTCGTCGCCATCTTGGATGAGATCAATGACCATTGTATCATCAGCAAACTTTAGGAGCTTGACAGAGGGGTCCTTCGAGATGCAGTTGTTGGTGTAGAGTGAAAACAGAGCGAAGAGCACACATCCCTGGGCCCCTGCGCTAATTGTCCGGGTGCTGGATGTGGTTTTCCCCAGCTTCACCTTCTGCTTCCTGTCTGTCAGAAAGCTAGTAATCCACTGACAGGTGGGGGCAGGCACAGTGAGCTGGATCAGTTTGGAGTGGAGAATGTCCAAGATGATGGTGTTGAACACTGAGCTGAAGTCCACAAAGAGGGCCCGTGCATAGGTCCCTGGGGAGTCGAGGTGTTGCAGGATGTATTGCAGTGCCATGTTGACTGCATCGTCTACTGACCTGTTTGTCCGGTAGGTGAACTGCAGGGGGTCTACGATGTCCTTTTGGTGGGCCAACACCCATCTTTCAAAGGACTTCATAACTACAGATGTTAGGGCGACAGGTCTCTAGTCGTTCAGTCCACTGATGGAGGTTTTCTTGGGGATTGGAATGATGGTGGAGCATTTGAAGCAGGAGGGGACTTCACACAGCTCCAGTGACTTGTTGAAGATGAGTGTGAAGATGGGGGCCAGCTGATCAGCACACACTTTCAGGCAGGAGGGGGCTTGAGTCTGGTTGTAAACCAGGGCTTGTTGTTGTTGTATGTGCAGAAGGACTTGGTGGGAACACACACATTCTCACAAAAGCTGATATAAGATATGACAGGGTTTGTGAGTTTGTCCAGGTCTGTAGCTGCAGTCTCAAATACACTCCAGTCTGTGCAGTCAAAGCGGACACCCTCTCTACCATTAAGATTAGCCTTAAGACGTTTCTTTTTGATAAAGCTTATAGTTAGGGCTGGATCAGGTGACCCTGGGCCTTCCCTTGGTTATGCTGCTATAGGCCTAGGCTGCTGGGGGGTCCCATGATGCTCTGAGTTTCTCCCCTCCCCTCTCCTCTCCTCTCTCCAGATGCTTCTATATGCCACCATTACACATCCCTAACTTTGTGTCTCCTCTCTCCCGTAGTGTGTCCTCTCTCTCTCCT